ACAATAATCCACACTTTTAATCCAGGTTACACTCTTCCCTCAAGGACACATTTTACAAAGTAGCTAAATATTGTGCAGGTATAAAGACACATTTGTATATATTTTTGTTTACATTTATTTTTTTAAGCTATTTGACTAACTTTTAAATTTTTTTTATTATTCAATATTTTACTAACAGAATAGTTAAATAGCAACCTGTTTTTTGTGTGAATTGCTATGTCAGTCAAATGTTCAATTTTGGAATAAAGGGGTGGAAATTAAAACGTAATTTTTTTGCCGATTCATCGATTAATCGAAGAAAAAAATAATCGGCTGATGAATTGATTATTGAAATAATTGTTAGTTGCAGCCCTACTTCATGTCAATGTGTTTGGATCTCTGTCTATTTACAGGGTACTTATGCAACGCAATAGCCCCTGGTTATCACCACGAAGTACTGTACAGCTGTACTTTTTGTTGTCAATGCCATTTAATAATTGGGTCAAATACAGACTTTCTTGTGTAGTAGTAGCTGTTAATCCAATGTACTCAGCCTCACATGTGAAAAGAGCCACGGTTGGTTGTTTCTTGGATTTCCAGGAAATGGCTGGACCATGTGGCGTTAAGCTGAAACAATAACCTGTGGTGCTGCGTCTGTCCTCTACTGAGGATGCCCAGTCAGAGTCACTGTAGACTATGAGGCTTAAGTCTTCATTGTTTTTCTTGAAACTTAGTTCATAGTCACAAGTACCTTTCAGATATCTCAGAACATGTTTAGCATTCACTAAATCTTTTGTGGGCAGCACGGTGGCGCAACTGGTAGAGCTGCTGCCTCTCAGCGAGCAGGTCCTTGGTTCAAACCCCGGTCCAGGGAGCTTTCTGGGTGGAGTTTGCATGTTCTCTCCGTGCATGCGTGGGTTTTCTCCGGGTGCTCCGGTTTCCTCCCACAGACCAAAAACATGCATGTTAGGCTGATTGGTAACTCTAAATTGTCCCTAGGTGTGAGTGAGAGAGTGAATGGTTGTTTGTCTCGTTTGTCTCTATGTGTCCCTGTGATGGACTTGCGACCCGTCCAGGGTGTACCCCGCCCCTCACACAGTGATTGCTGGACATGGGCACC